TTTGAAATGACTGAAGAGTTGCATTCATTTCAAGCTGTTGTTATTCTCTGTTTTAGGAATGGGAGATAACTGTTTTACTTTAACCCTGAACATTTCCCTTGCAACGTTCTCTGGCATTTGGAAGTCCTCCAAGCCCCTCATCATTTTTCAACAGCCAGGCTTCCCGCAGTGCCTGCTCACAGTTTCCTCAAGGTCGAGTCTCAGAGGAACATAAGTTCAGCTGCTCCTCTTAGAGGGCGCAGTGAATCATCTCTTTTAGCAAATATAGAATTCCCTGTGACCTCTGCAAATGGTCCCACTATGTCTGCTGCTGAGCCAAAAGCAGGAAAGCCAGAGACTGAGTAATTTATTGCAAGCAACCATCACTGTTTATTCCAGGCCCAATGGGAGTCAGACAGAGGAAATAGCTCTGCTAATTACATCTGGGAAAGATTAGTGGCTTTAAAGTCAGAAAACATGAGCTTGACATCTGGTTCCTCTACCCATTGAGTGATCTTGGGCAAGTCTTTGATGCTAAAAATACATTAAGCACCTACTATAAGCCAAGTACATAGGGACAGGAGTTGTAAAAATAAATTGCAGGAAGTCAAATAACTTACTGTAATACAATATGGGACATGTTCTCTCACTTCCTCTATGTGTCTGTCTTGGCCCTTGGTGGAAAGGACTTCTGTCCACATTGTAGCCACTGCCTATTCCAGCAGCTGGAGTCTTCTGCTGCTGCCCTCACCAGTCAAACTGATGCCTCACAAACTGATGCCTGTTTCTTTACATTGCTGACTTCCAAGTCAAGATCTCGCAAGGGTGAGTTACCTGGGAATACATAGATCATAAGCCTGTGGTTTATGTACAGGAGGCCAGAAAAGAGGGGAATGCACATTTTCAAATTTCCCAAAAGGATGTTTTAAAATGTGTGGGGCAGGCAGAAAATATGGCAGATAGAAAGATTTCCGAATGGTACTGAAGGGCCATTTGATGTTAGTGATCATGCTTTTGTTTTAGTATGATTGTATAAATCTCTCCCAGCTGTGCCAGGCAAAACCAGAAAGGAACAGAGAAAAGGAATTGTTGGTTTGATCCTGAGTTTAGGATGTTGGGATAGTCGCAGAAGAAAGGTAAGGCTACCAGGATGCCAAGTAGCTCTGAAAGAGGTAAATGGAGTGATAGAGTTCTCCATGAATTTGAAGAGCAGGTGGTAATGACAGAGAATAGTTTATGGGAATTTAAGATTGTAGGCATTGTGAAGTTCTGGGTAATGACCTAATGTAGAAACATGGATAATATTCACGCAGTTTGCACTGTGTGGGGATGGTTCTAATGCCCTATCCACGTTGGGGAAAATATGACATGACCATTGGGCATGGTAGCATGCACTTGTAGTCCCACCTATGCAGGAGGCTGAGATGAGAGGACTGCTTTAAGGCAGGAATTTGAGGCTGCAAGGTGCTATTATTATACCTGTGAATAGCCACTGCACTCCAACTTTGGCAACATAGCAAGACCCTATCTATAAAAAATAAATAAAATGGCACAACCAATTTGCAAGGATCTCAGGATGCAGGCATTTTGGCAGTAGTGCCACATGTTTGCCATTACTGATGTTAAGTGTGGTCACAAAAGGGTGGGTAATGAGAAGTGGTGGTTGATCGAGCAGGAGCACCGTCATCTCGGACAAACACCACCACTTTAAATTCCAGCTCCCTTTCCAGCCTCATGCATTTCAAGGAAATCACTTCTCTTCTAACTACAAGCAGCCAGAAAGAGCAGACAGTAAAACACAGATAAGACAGCGTGGGCACAGAGGGAGGTTGGGGAAAAGCACAACAAAAAAGCAAAAAACAAAAAAACACAGAAGCAGTCCAAGCCTCTGATAAGTTCTCCCAACCTGAATCATTAAAAACTCTTAGTCTATAAGAGAGTGTGCCTCTGACTTAACTTGGCCAGTAGCCTCCTTTCAGGTTTATTTTCTCTAAAATAAATCTGTCTTGACTGGCAAGCCACCTTTCATGTTTCTTTCCTCTTTCTTTAATTCTTACAGTGGTGAAGAAAACAAAGAGTTCAGAGGACAAATGTTACGAGCCTAGGGTGTTTCTAGGCCTCAAGACATGAGCACTGGGCTGTTCTGGTGGTATAATAGGACTTGACTGGCAGACTGTTGTTCAGGTGCCGATGTTCTCAGTGAATGAGGAAAAGTGGCCAGGGGATCTGCAGCACAGACATAGGGTTAGATAACCAAAGGTGGAGGGGTTAAGCATGTGGAAGAAGAGAAAGCAAAATGCAGGACTAGGAGAAAGAGATGTTGCCCAGACATGGACAGGGAGAGAGGGTTCTTTTAAGAGGATAGGATAGAGGAAGATTCATTAGAATGAAGTAAAGGATTCCAGAAGATGATGGAGAAAGAATAGTGCAGAATTAAAAAGAATTATGTAAGAAGACACAGAACTGTAAACTCAAAATTAGATGATAAGAGAGCTTTGCATTGTGGGCCACTAGCAGCCAAAGGTGAGAGGGATTCGGAACAGGTGCAGGTAGGACTCTATGTCTTCTTTCAGGGAATGTGGCAAGGATTTGTTCCCTGAGGAGCTAGCATCTTAGGCTGCCTGTGGTGGTCAGGAGCCTCTCCTCCCCTTCTTACATTGTGCATTATTCCATTCTCATACTGCTATAAAGATACTCCCTTAGACTGGGTAATTTATAAAGGAAAGAGGTTTAATTTACTCCCTATTCCACATAACTGGGGAGGCCTCAGGAAACTTACAATCATGATGGAAGGTGAAGGGGAAGAAAGGCATGTCTTCACAAGGCAGCAGGAGAGAGAGAGCGCCTACCACATGGTCAGGATACAAATTTTCCAAACTTGAATGCTCTGCTTCCCTTTTAAACATAAGTTTCAATTTCAAACCATCTCTTTGTGAGCCCATATAACTGAATGCTTTCAGAATAAGCGACGTAGCTTCTTGAATGCTTTGCTGCTTAGAAATTTCTTCCGCCAGATACACTAAATCATCTCTCTCAAGTTCAAAGTTCCACAGATCTCTAGGGCAGAGGCAAAATGCCACCAGCCTCTTTGCTAAAGCATACCAAGAGTGACCTTTACTCCAGTTCCCAGTAAATTTCTCATTTCCATCTAAGACCACTTCAGCCTGGACTTCACTGTCCACATCACGATCAGCATTTTGGTCAAAACCGTTCAGCAAGTCTCTAGAAAGCACCAAATTTTCCTACATCTTCCTGTCTTCTCCTGAGCCCTCCAAACTGTTCCAAACTCTACCTGTTATCCAGTCCCAAAGTCAATTCCACATTTTCAGGTTATCTTTATAGCAGTACCCCACTCTCAGTACCAATTCTCTGTATTAGTCCTTTCTTACACTGTTATAAAGATACTACCTGAGAGTGGGCAATTTATAAAGGAAAGAGGTTTAATTGACTCACAGTTCCGCATGGCGGGGAGGCCTCGGGAAGCTTACAATCATAGCAGAAGATGAAAGGGAAGTAAGGCATATTTTCACAAGGCGGCAGGAGAGACAGAGTGTGCAGGGGAACCTGCCACTTTTAAAACCATAAGATCTCATGAGAATTCCCTCACTATCATGAGAACAGTAGGGGGGAACCACCCTCATGATCCCATCACCTCCCACCAGGCTCCTCCTTTGACACAGGAAGGATTACAATTTCGAATGAGATTTGGGTGGAAACACAGAGCCAAATTATATCACATAGCAAGGACAAGAATGTCTCAATCTTAGAGGATCGTTGTGACACTCAGTGTCACAATGGTGTCCAGGAAAGAAAGCATCCAACAGCCACATTTCCCAGGTCTCTAATGCAGGGTACCACTGAGAGGCAGTTTTCACAGTCACAGAATCCTTTCCTTGAGTGTCTCCTAGCTCTGTCTTTCTTCTTTTGTCACAAGATCTTAGGGCAGATTGCATGTCTTCCATGAAGTCAATATGGCCACTCTTCTGTGCCCCTGTGACCCACTCTGTGCTCTGTAGACCCACCTGTGCTTCTATGGGTCACAGCTCCTGGGACCATAAAGGTCACTGGTGGCCTCACGTTGGTCACCATGTACATGCTCCTGGTTGTTCATTTGTCAGAACTTTTTCCAGTGTGGAACTAGCCTCACTTACACTCCAACCTTGTGTTGACAGAATTTTTGTTGTTGTTATTAGGCTATGAGACAGAACAGATTTTGCTTTAGTGTTCTGGCATCATCCTCTGAGGTGACATCTTCTCTTGACTCATTCAGCTTATTTCAATCACCTTCTCCTTAAGAACTAGGCTCAAGTCCCTCAGGGACTGGCCAGGAGATAGCTAAGTGACAACCTGAGGTTCTGCACACACCACTCTCTATTCCTTAGACAAAGGTTTATGAGGCTAAAGCAAAGGGAAGTAAGGCATTCTGATGAGAGAGAGCTATAAGAGGAGGCTGGCGTGGACAGTTTTCATGGCGTGAGGAGTCCAGATCAAAAGGAATATAGTAAAGAGCTAGGAACTTCTCAGGGGCAGCACCTCATTAGAGAGTGAGGGTTACAGTGTCAGCCTCTCAGAAGTTGGATATTCTTTCTAATGCAGAGTTGTTCAGATCACTGGTGATTATCTGATAATAACTAAAATCACCCAAGACTGGGCATAAAATCATGCCATCACCATACTCAGTATACTAGGAAGTACCCATACCCCCTCAAAATTTTCTTTTTGTAGTAAGCCCCTCCCACAATCCTCAACCCCTGACAACCACTGATCTCTTCTCCATCCGTATAGTTTTGCCTTTTCCAGAATGCCGTGCAATACTGATATGGTTTGGATTGGTGTTCCCACCCAAATCTCATGTCAAATTGTAATCCCCAATGTTAGAAGAGGGGCCTGGTAGGAGGTGATTGGATCATGGGGGCAGATTTCCCACTTGCTGTTCTAATGCCAGTGAGTGGGTTCTCATGAGATCTGGTTGTTTAAAAGCATGTAGCCCCTCCCTCTTCTGTCTCTTTCTCCTTCTCCAGCCGTGTAAGAGTGCCTGCTTCCCTTAGAAAGTATCCTGAGACCTCTCCAGCCACGTTACCTGAACAGCTGCAGAAACGTGAGCCAATTAAACCTCTTTTCTTGTAAATTACCCAGTCTCAGGTAGAGCTTCTTAGCAGTGCAAAAATGGATGAATACAAATATGTAGCCTTTTGAATCAGGCTCACTCAGCAATATGCATTTAAAATTCATCCACGTTGTTGAGTGGATCAGTAGTTCTTCCTTTTTATTGCTAAGTAATATTTCACTGTACAGATACACCACAGGATTTCCCAACTGAAGGATATGGAGAAGAGTAATTGCAGCCACTTTGGTAAATAATCTATCATGTATACTAATTAACTGACTTAAACAGTTTTATGTTCTTTCCTTGTACAAAAAGTCACACAAATGTAGAGAAGAAAACAAAATGAATCCTAAGATAGTCTTCACTTAGCTTCAACAATTATCAAGATTCTTTCCATCTATCCCTTTTTACTTTAGTCTTTCTTGTTGAAATATATTAAAGCAAATCTTAGATATGAGAGTGAAATATGTAGAGATTATTCCATTTGACTCTCCAAAAGTTATGAATGTTTTTCATATAACTTTAATGTATCAGTATTTTTTTCTATAAAAGGCCAAATAATAACTGCTTTTGGCTTTGTGAGCTCTGAGTTCTTTGTCAAAATTACTGAACTTCTGCTGTTATAAAAAGAAAGCAGCCTTAGACTACTCATAAACAAACAAGCATGACTGTAGTCTACCAAAACTTTATTTGCTGAAACAGGCAGCAGACCCTAGTTTGACAAATGCAATCTAATCTCCAGTCCATGATGAAATTTTCCAGATTGCTTCAAAAATGTATTTTACTGTTTTTTTCTCTCCAAACCTTGTTTGGATTATGTTTTTAAATGATTTTAAAGTTTCTAACATAAATAGCTTACATACCCATATTTTTCAGTGCATATTAATTCTGCTATCACTAGAATTTCTTCCTTGAAAAAGAACTATTTTATAAAATAAGCAATATGTATTTAACACTGAGAAAATTAGAAAAAAAAACAATAAGCAAAAGGTAAGTCCTTCATAATCCTATCACCCAGAAATAACCATTGTAAATATTTTGGTGTATGTACTTCACTTTTTTTTTTTTTTTTTTCCTTTGAGATGGAGTCTCGTTCTGTTGCCCAGGCTGGAGTGCAGCAGCGTGATCTTGGCTGACTGCAACCTCCGCCTCCCAAGCTCAAGTGATTCTCCTGCCTCAGCCTCCTGAGTAACTGGGACTACAGGTGAGCACCACCACACCTGGCTAATTTTTTGTATTTTTACTAGAGATGGGGTTTCTCCATGTTGACCAGGCTGGTCTCGAACTCCTGACCTCAGGTGATCCACCCGTCTTGGCCTCCCAAAGTGCTGGGACAACAGGCGTGGGTCACCACACCCAACCTGATGTATATACTTCTAAATGTAGATCTGTTGATAGAGACTGTTATACAGATATTCATCCACAGTAAAATTTTAAATTAGCAAGGGATCCAGCTATATATATTATCACTTGTTTGTTTCACTTCTATATTATAACATAAACATATTTTCATGCTGTAATGATCCTTTTACAGGTTGTGCAGATGATTGTGTGATAGGTGGGCTTCATTATTTACTTGCAACTTACTTATCTCATACTCTCATATTAGCTGGAGATGTAGGAATTAGAATCCTGAGTGCAACTCTTCCTGCCATCTTTCAGTGCCGCCACTATGGTGTGCATGAATGTCCTGGCTGATGTTCTCAAGAGCATCAGTGCTGACAAAAAGAGAGGCAAACACCAGGTTCTTACTAGGACATGTTCTCAGGTTGTTGTCCAGTTTCTAACTGTGATGACAAAGCATGGCTACATTGTGAATTTGAAATCCTTGAGGATCACAGAGCTGGGAAAATTGTTGTCAACCTCACAGGCAGGTTAAACAAACGTGAAGCGATTAGTTCCAGATTTGATGTGCAACTCAAAGATCTAGAAAAATGACTAATAATCTGCTCCCATCCTGCCAGTTTGGTTTCCTTGCACTGATAACCTTAGCTGGTATCATGGGCCATGAAGAAGCAAGACGATAATACACAGGAGAGAAAATCCTGGGATTTTTTCTAGGGATGTAATATAACTTTTTGTTGTTGTTGTTGTTGTTTTAAGACAGAGTCTCACTCTGTTACCCAGGCTGGAGTGCAGTAGCATGGTCTCAGCTCACTGCAGCCTTGACCTCCCAGGCTCAAGCGATCCCCCTGCCTCAGCCTCCTGAGTAACTGGGACTACAGGCAGGCATTACCTCTCCCAGGTAATTTTTGTATTTTTAGTAGAGATGAGGTCTCCCACGTTGCCCAGGCTGGTCTTGAACTCCTGAAGTCCAGCAGTCTGCCTGCCTCAGCCTCCTAGTGTGTTGGAATTACAGGCATAAGCCATTGTGTCCAGCCAGCATACAATACACATTTATAAATAAAATGCCTCAGTGGAAAAAAAAAATTCTGAGCACAGCTCTCCACCAGTGCCAAAACTTATCTTGCAGAGTTCAGTCTCATGACTGGAAAGAAAAATCTTTTAATATTGATAGGTGCAGGAGCTGGGTGCTCACACACATTGCTGACAGCACAGTAGTCATCAGGTCACCAGGGGTTTAGAGAGTCCCCGCTGTTCTCTGCATCATCCCTGACTGTGCTGTTGCTGTGTGTGCATCAGTTCCAGGGACCTGTCTGTTGCTAGGGTGCATCAAACAGGCTTGATCTTGGCCAACCACAAAACACCGTCCTGGAGTTCTCAGAGTTTTTAGTTCCTATCCTGTGGACGACTCAAGATTCTACAAACCATGAAACATGTAAGGATGAGGGAGGCCTCCTGGCCAGAATTCGGGGGAGGGTGCAAATGTGGTATGCAGACTCCATAGGTGGGGGAAGAACCAAGCCCTTGTCTTTCACAGCTGGGAAGCAGGTAGCCTGGGGCAAGTTTTCAAGCCCATGTCACCCTCCACCTGGAAATAGACTCGGGGATGTCGGGGGAAGCTGGGGGAGGCCTGTGACTGCCGGCTTTCCTCCACTTCCCTGACAACCTGCATGACTCAGCAGAGGCAGCCATAATCCTCCTAGGTATTCAACTCCAGTGACCTGAGTATCTCACCCCATACTCCACAGCAGCTGCAGCAAGACCAACCCAATGAAAGTCTGATCTCAGACACGCCTAGACCTGTCCCTACTTGATGGTCCTTCCCTACTCACCCTGGTAATGGAAGACAAAGAGCATATAATTGTGGGAGTTCTAGGGTCCTGACCACCACCAGTTCCTCTCCATACTACTACAGCTGATGCTCTCTGGAAAGCACTACCTCCTGGCAGGAGGCCAACCAGCACAAAAATAGCCCATTAAACCACCAAAGCTAAGAACCCTCACAGAGTCCATTGCACCCCACCGCCACCTCCACTAGAACAGGCACTGGTATCCATGGCTGAGAGTCCCATAGACGGTTTACATCACAGGACTCTGTGTAGACAACCCCTAGTACCAGCCCAGAGCCGGGTAGACTCACTGGGTGGCTAGACCCAGAAGAGAGACAACGATCACTGCAATTTGGCTCACAGGAAGCCGCATCCATAGGAAAAGGGGGAGAGTACCGCATAAAGGGAACACCCTGCAGGACAAAAGAATCTGAACAATAGCATTCAGCACTTGACCTTCCCTCTGACAGTCTTACCCAAATGAGAAGGAACAGAAAACTAACCCTGGTAATATGAGGAAACAAGGCTCTTTAAAAGTCCCCAAAAAATCATACTAGTTCACCAGCAATGGATTCAAACTGAGAAGAAATCCCTGATTTACCTGAAAAAGAAAAGGAATTCAGGAGGCTGGTTATTAAGCAGGGAGACACAAGAGAAAGGTAAAGCCCAGTGCAACGAAATGAAAAAAAATGGTACAAAATGTGAAGGGAGAAATATTCAAGGAAATAGATAGCTTAAAGAAAAAACAATAAAAAATTCAGGAAACTTTGGACATACTTTTAGAAATGCAAAATGCTCTGGAAAGTCTCAGCAATAGAATTGTACATGTAGAAGAAAGAAATTCAGAGATCAAAGACAAGGTCTTCAAATTAACCCAGTCCAACAAAGAAAAGGAAAGCGTAAGAAAATATGAACAAAGCCTCCAAGAAGTCTGGGATTATGTTAAATGAACAAACCTAAGAATAATTGGTGTTCCTGAGGAAGAAGAGAATTCTAAAAGCTTGGAAACATATTTGGGGGAACAATCGAGGAAAACTTCCCCAGCCTTGTGAGATACCTAAACAGCCAAATACAAGAAACACAAAGCACACCTGGGAAATTCATCACAAAAAGATCATCACCTAGGCATATTGTCATCAGGTTATCCAAAGTTAAGATGAAGGAAAGAAACTTAAAAGCTGTGAGACAGAAGCACCAGGTAATGTATAAAGGAAAACCTACCAGATTAACAGCAGATTTCACAGCAGAAATCCTACAAGCCAGAACGGACTGGGGCCCTACCTTCAGACTCCTCAAACAAAACAATTATCAGCCAAGAATTTTGTATCCAGTGAAACTAAGCAACATACATGAAGGAAAGATACAGTCTTTTTCAGACAAACAAATGCTGAGAGAATTCACCATTACCATGCCACCACTACAAGAACTGCTAAAAGGAGCTCTAAATATTAAAACAAATCCTGGAAACACATCCAAACAGAACCTCTTTAAAGCATAAGTTGTCTGGGCATGGTGGCTCATACCTTTAATCCCAGCACTTTGGGAGGCCGAGGCAGGTGGACCACCTGAGGTCAGGAGTTTAAAACCAGACTGGCCAACATAGTGAAACCCTGTCTCTACCAAAAATACAAAAAATCACCAGATGCAGTGGCAGGCACCTGTAATCTCAGTTACTTGGGAGGCTGAGGCGGGAGAATTGCTTGAACCCAGGAGGCAGACGTTGCAGTCAGCCGAGACTGCACCACTGCTCTCCAGCCTAGGTGACAGAGTAAGACTCCGTCTCAATAAAAATAAATAAATAAATAAATAAATAAATAAATAAAGTTTGCATAAATAAGTAAATGAAAATGAGAGATAAATCTCACATACAGAAGAATCCAAATAATTGATATAGGTAATTTCCCTTCAAGGAGGTGGAGTCTACTTCCTTACCCCTTGAGTCAGTGTGTGCTTAGTGACTTGTTTTCAGAATGAGACTCCGCCTTAAAAAAAAAAAAAAAAAAAAGTGTAAATCACACAGGACCCATAAAACAAAAGCAAAAGTACAAGTTAAAAAGTAAAACAAAAAACAAAAATACCCAAGTACCCAGACAACAAACAGTACAATGTATGCAATGGTACCTTACATTTCAATGGTACCTTACATTTCAATACTAACATTGAATGTAAATGGCCTAAAAGCTCCACTTAAAACATACAGAACCACAGAATGAATAAGAACTCACAAGGGCTGGGTGCGGTGGCTCAAGCCTGTAATCCCAGCACTTTGGGAGGCCAAGACGGGTGGATCATGAGGTCAGGCGATCGAGACCATCCTGGCTAACACGGTGAAACCCCATCTCTACTAAAAAATATAAAAAGCTAGCCGGGCGAGGTGGCAGGCGCCTGTAGTCCCAGCTACTCGGGAGGCTGAGGCAGGAGAATGGCGTAAACCCAGGAGGCGGAGCTTGCAGTGAGCTGAGATCTGGCCACTGCACTCCAGCCTGGGCGACAGAGCGAGACTCTGTCTCACAAAAAAAAAAAGAACTCACAAGCAACTATCTGCTGCCTTCAGGAGACTCATCTAATAGATAAGGACTCACATAAACTTAAAGTAAAGGGGTGGAAAAAGGCATTTCATGCAAATGGACACCAAAAGCGAGCAGGGGTAGCTATTTTTATATCAGGCAAAACAAACTTTAAAACAACAGCAGTTAAAAGAGACAAAGAGGGACATTATATGATAGTAAAAGGCCTTGTCCAACAGGAAAATATCACAATCTTAAACATATATGGACGTAGCACTGAAGCTCCCAAATTTATAAAACAATTACTAATAGACATAAGAAATGAGATAGACAGCAACACAGTAACAGTAGGAGACTTCAATATTCCACTGACAGCACTAGACAGGTCATCAA